CAACCAAAAATCTACAAACAGCAGCTGGAAAGCACATTCTTTCATCATTTAACTGAATTATTGATTTGTTTCTAAACAGAGAATATTGCACACATTGACAGGGTTTGGGGAGTTTTTTGTTTGTTTGTTTTTGGTGTAAACAAGTCACGTTAAAAATCTCATAAAACAAACATTTCAGATAGAGATGGGGAATTTGGTCTTGGAGGGTTGCCCTGCACAGATGTCAGAGAACACAGGGCCTTATCTCCTTTGGATAAGGAATGATGTCAACAGTAGCTGTGTTAACAAAGAGGTCAATAATGACCAGTAAACATATCCCAAACAATTGAATAACTGACGTGTAAATCATTTTGGGGGAGGGGAAGCTGATGCGCTCAACAGGGCTTTTTAAAACCTTGCTGCTTTTTGTCGGGAAAACAGAAACGCAGGACTGGCTAAAATTTTATCAATCACTCTCCTCCCCCCAAACATCATAGGTGTCAAGAGCTAAAAGGACCTCCTTATGCAAAGTAAATGAAACATGTACCTGAGAGTGGGACCAAAATGTGTTGACAGTACCATGTTTAAAAGCTGGTATACATTGATTGCTGGAAAGACCAGCTACACAGAAACTCGTTCAGATCTAATGAGGTCACACCACATACTCTGACAATACTTCTCATTCACTCAGGGAATCAACTCTGTACTCATTGCCCTGCTCCCACTTCAGCCAGTTCAACCGCCCCCCTCTGCCCAGGATGCCTCCACCTCTGATTTTTTTTTTTTCATACTTCAAGCAGTCCAGTTCCTCCCTTAAGTATCTTCATTGTCCATATCTACTATTCCAGAGGCAACTGAATGAGTGGAGTCCCTAAAAGAGTGAAGCCAGTAAGAATGTAACCATCTGCAAAGAAATCAGAGCACATCATCATGAAAGTCCATGCACTCTGCCACTTAGTTCTGTCTCAGGTCTCCTTTATCATAGAAGAGTGAAAGATTACAGCCTTCTTGTTCTTGAGTTTTTATTGTACTTCATACACTTCAGGGAGAAGGGAAGGGGCGGCATTTACCTCACCAAAGGAGATAAGGCCCTGTGTTCTCTGGCATTTACCTCACGTGGAGGAGGAAGTCCCTGTTCTTGGCAAGGATGGCCAAACTTCTAGATAGGGCTTTAAACTAAGATTGGCGGGAGGCAGGAAAGCATTAACTGAAGCATGCCTGGGGACCGGCGCACAAGTAAGCTCCAAAGTTGGGGACACTTAGAGAGCCACTCTTGCAAGAGCTGAGGGAATGGTTCTCCTTTAGCATGATAGGAAATCAAGGGTCTCAACTGGAGGACTCAGGTGCCTGTACACTAATGCCAGAAGCATGGGGAACAAGCAGGAGGAGCTAGCCCTCCTACTCTCCAGTGGGCATTACAATCTAGTAGAGATCACGGAGACCTGGTGGGACTCCTCACATGATTGGAACGTAGCCATAGAGGGCTACATCCTGCACAGAAGGGACTGAGTAGGGAAGAAAGGTGGAGGTATAGCTTTCTATGTGACGGAGCAGTACACCTCCTTGGAAGCGGACATCAGCTCCAAGAAGAGCGGCTCAAAACCCTCTAGGTCAAACTATCGGGGGGAGTGGAAGGAGAGGGGTGGTGAGAGAGATCTAACTGTAGGTGTATACTACAGGCCAACTAACCATGGGGAGGAGCTCGATCTGGAGTTCTCTCGAGAGCTGGCAGAGGCCGTGCGCACATGGAACATAGTCATCACGGGTGACTTCAATTACCCAGATATCTCTTGGGAGGAACACTCAGCTAAGTTGGATCAGTTGCATTGCTTCCTGACCTGTATTAAGAGCTCTTCCTGACCCACGGCCAACCAGCATGGACTGCATGGGCCAACCAGAGGTAACGCTCTCCTAGACTTAGTCTTGGCCAAAGGAGACTATATGGTGAGCGACTTGAATATAGAGGGTAGCCTGGGCAACAATGACCATGAAACCATCATGTTCACTGTCCATTGCAAGGCAGGCGAATCAGCTAGCAGGGTTGAAGTTTTGGACTTCAAAAAAGTGAATTTCAACAGGCTCAGGGCAATAGTAGAAGAAGCGCTGCAGGATCAGGGACCAAAGGTAAAAGAAGTGCATGAAGAGTGGTTGTTCCTCAAGGACACAATCCTCAAATCACAAAAGAAGTCCGTTCCCATGTGGAGGAAAGGTACCAGAAGAGCTGGTAAGCCCTCTTGGCTTAATAGGGATATAATGGTCCTCTTGAAAAAGAAGAAAGAGGTATACAAACAAAGGAAGCTTAGGACAGTTTCCAAGGAAGATTATACAACAATGGCCTGCACTTGTAGGGAGCAGATTAGAAAGGCTAAGGCAGCAACTGAATTTAAACTAGCAACAGAAATCAAGGACAATACATCCTTCTTTAGGTATGCAGGGAACAGTCAGAAAACAAACAGAAGCATGGGGTCATTGCTTAACAACTCAGGACAGCTGGTTACTGACACTCAGGAGAAAACTGAGCTCCTGAATGACTACTTTGCTTCAGTATTTCACCGGATTAAGGGGAAAAATCCTACTAGATAAGGTTCAGAATGGGCATGGTGGGAATGACCACCTTCCTACTGTAGATGTTGAGCTGGTGCATGATCAGTTAGAAAAGTTAGACATTTAGAAGTCAGCAAGACTGGATGAACTTCATCCGAGAGTGCTGAAGGAGCTGGCCGAATTCATCGCAGGACTTCTGGCAAATTTACAGTGGGCAGGGCATGCTTAGCCATTTCCTCATCAGGATCTGCTACAGTGATATAGACATGTCTGTAGTCAACTTAGGAAAATCTCTGAGAGTTGCTCATTTCTAGGTCTGTCTTGGGTATGCATATTAATGCACCCTCAGTGCCACTCTAAAGGTGACTATATTGCTTCACTTCCAGGACCTGATACATGAGTAGAGCAGGTAGGCATATCCATTCAATAAGGGATTTTAATACTTGAAGTAAACCCTAAAAATTGTAGAACATTAAAACAAGCAAGAAGAACTCAAAGCTTCATATTTCTTTGGAGGTTCAGGCAGGAGGGCAGCTATTGTACACCTGTAACTGGAGAATGGCATTCCAAGGTCTGGGAAGGCTGTCTTTGTCAACCATGCATGCAACTTCAGGAAGGATGCATGCAGAGGAGGAAGGGACCAATGCCTTGCCAACCAGATTAGCCCAGAATCTATCCTAGTGACCAATGGGATGACGGATGTTGCAACTGGATTGCTTTCACATCTGAGAGATGCTGTGAGGCAAGTGCTACATCAGGCAGGGGCAGGAGAGTGTTGGCAACTGGCTGAATAAGCCACTAGCAAAGCCAATTGATGCGAGACTGGCAAGATGTCTTCAAGTGGAGTTTCCCAAGCAGTTTTAGTCCCAGTGCTGCCTAGCATCATTATTAAAAGACTTGGTTGCAGAAACACAAACAGCACAAAATAGAGAAGTTGCAAATATGTTGGAGGATGTCATTAAAATCCTTAAAGAAACCTGGGTAAGCTGGAGACTCGGGCAGTAGACAACAAAATGAAATTCAACAAAGACTAATGCAAGGTGCCACACCTAGGGGAGTAAATGGATATATACGTGGGGGACAACTGGTTTGGCAGTAGGACTTTCAAGAGGAATCTGGGGGTTATGATGGATCAAATTTGGTCACAAAAGAGTACATAAAAGTCTGGGCTTGTATTAACAGAATCACCAAATACAAAACATGAAAAGCAGTAGTACCACTGAGGCCTCATGCATCATCCTGTGTCCAGTTCTAGTCACAAAAAACCCAAAAAACAAAAAAAACAAAAAACTGAGCACACCTAGAGACAAGCAACAAGGATGGTAAAGGGGCTGAAACATAAGATGTGTGGGGAAAGCTGAAGTGCATGTGTAGTTGAGGAAAAGGAGATTAAGTGGGAAACAAGATAGCAGTTTTCAAATACTTGAAAGGCTGCCATAAAATGGGCAGGGTGAAACGCTGTTCTCCCTCACCACAGAGGGCAGGACACAAGACAAAGGGTTTACATTGCAGCAAAGTAATTGTGGAACAAACCAAGAAAATCGTCTTATGAAAGAACATGAGGATGACGGAACAAACTTATCAGGAAAGCTGTGGAGCCTCCTTTATGGGAGGTTTTCAGGAAGCTGGCTAGATATCTATCTGGGATGGTTTAGAACTAATAAATCCTGCATTTCTGCAGGTGTGAGCCTAGAAGACTTTGGAGGTCCCTTCCAAACTTACGATTTTTAAGCATCTTGTGATTTCTGGCATCTGGCTTGCGGTTTTCTAAAGCCTTGTGCTTCCAAAAGTGCAATCTAGGCCTTTCCTTTGACAGTATGTCCCCAACTAGCTCCACTTTAGCAGAATGAAGTCCTGATGCCCCCTTGGTCCTCTGGGCTTTCCTATAATGCAAAATATAAAAACTGTTAGCTAGCACATAGCAGTAATGCTCAAAATTTGAGCGCCAATACCTCATATTACATCTAGAATTTAGCATCAGATTGAATTGGCTTTCAGCTAGCTAGCTGAAACTTCAGGAGAAAACCTAATGGAACATATGTCCCTCTTTACTTCATTGTATGTACATGGATTGAATTGAAAAAAGGACTTCTTTAAAAAAAAAATAGAAAATTGTGTTCCAAGGATATCCTAGAAACCATGGAACCTGTAATAGGCAAATAATCCAAGAATACTTTTTAATGTCTTGGTGAGGGCTTTTTCTTCGCTGTAATTGAAAAAAAATACATAAAAAGTTAAATCTGAAAAAACAATACTAGCTTGACCAAGTTACTTATTTCTGACCTGTAAAGTTAATCATCTTTCAGATGTTATCCTGAAAACAAAACAACATATAGATAAGAAAGTGCCTGAATGTTGGTGGTACTTACTTTTGATTTAGAACAGCAATGCAACAGCTTGTTTGAGGAGTGGGTATTGGTTGACTGTTGAAGTCATGCAGATTTACATCCAATAATAAGCATCATGAACAGTTTAAAAGCAAGTTTATTTCCCCCTCTTCTTCATTTATGAAATAGGAACTTTATTTATAGGTTTCATCATTAACTTACTTTCTTACAATTCACATAAAAAGAACTGAATCATTAAATAACTGCCTTCCCCTTCAGACCACTTCACTTCAGTTCATGCAAGGAATAAAAATTAAGTCAGTTAGCTAAACGCCTCTGTATAAATTAAATACATATTTCCACATCTAGCACATTGCACATGTATCCTTTTCCCTTTGTGCAAAATATACTTAACTATACATTTTCAAAATAAAAGAAGATTTATCTTAAAAGTTAACTGGAACACCAAATTCAGAATCCATTAAAATGCGTCAATAACCAAAGCTCATCAGAAAGTTTTGTTCTTTTGTTTTTTCAATAATTAAACCTGGAACTATTTGAGAAAATGGGGAATCATTTTCAAGGCACAACTCAAAGGATCATCCACTTTCTTGCAAAAGTGGCTTTGAGAAAGAGATGTTAACACAAGGCTTTTCTCAAACTGCGCTTTTTTTCAATGTTAGCTGTAATTATGAAGAACTAGTTCTTTTGTTTAAAATGGTTTGACACACAAGTAATGAAAAACAGACAAGGTGACACAACATGTTCTTGAAGGTGAAATGTTCTTCCTGGTGAACATTCATCCAGTCTCCATAAAACTAATCCCATCCCTTCACCTTTTGGGACTAGTACCCTTTGTTGCTACCATTCAAAATGATACTTGCCTCTTCACTTTTCTCTCTCCCTGAACAGGTGAACAGCGTTGTTCTCCCTGCCAGTTACCCCTCCCCACTGGCCACTTCAGCAGCAGGTGCTACAAGCTCAGACACAGCAAGTCCTCTCTCAGCTCCAACACCGATCACATCTTGTAATGAAGTGAGCAAAGGGGGTAGGGCCAGAGGGAGATAACTTGTATAAGCACAAACAGAAAGCAGGGGGAAGACAGTGGTAGACAGCAATGCCTACAGCATACCTGAGACATTATGCCAACCTACTCTTAAAATGACCGCACACTTTTTTTTTTTTTTTTTAACCTCCACTACACTGTAGCCCTCAAAAATGATGAATCCAGACAGCTCTCAGCAGTGTTATAGATATCTCTAGTAGACATAACATATGTCAAAGCTGTTCATCCCTCACAAGCCAATCATAACCAGGGCTCCCATTCTCTAGTCAGTATTACTTTTGATTACTTTTCAAGTCTGAAAAAAATGTTTCAGGGGAGACATTTCTGTTTGCTGACGGAAAAGCAAAACCTCCACTCTGTGACATTTCAGTGTCTTCTTCTGCCTGAGCCTGTGCCTCAAGAAGAGCATCAGACCTTCCATTTTCAGCAGGGCTTAGGACCTCATCAGAGATGGCCAGTCTGTCTTTGTCTGTAGATTGCTTTGGAGCAGTGCTATTCATCATGGGATTCTCATGGAGATTTTCCTGATGAGACCTATTTAGCCATTGGTCACAGTTAGGCTGCAAGTCTGCTGGGAAGCAAATAGAAAGTGAATGTTCTGAGAGCTAGACTTCTAAAACCAGATTTGGTCCCCAAACACACTAAAGCAACATTTTACTTTTTCTTAAAAAAAAATGCAAAATAAAATCCAAAGTCTGAAAACTATTTGAATTCTTGATTAGCAGAAGAAAAAGTGGTACACCATTTTAATATTAGATACCTTGTGAAAATTGTGTTTCCTTCTCCATGAACTAAGTGTTTTTTTTGGAAAAAAAAATGCTCTGCTTGATATACAATAGTCAGAGTAATATAATAAATGGTGACAGTGAATTGTAATAGCCTATATTTTCAAAAGTTAAGATCAAATATAATGCTTGCATTTTTCAGACCCAAAATGATTAATTTATGATTTGTTAAGATATAGCAGTTTGGAACTTTTTATAAAGTTATAATGCAGATGCTTGGATACCAACTTAACTAAGCTACACAAAAACCCAATTCTTATAGCTTCAAGAAAACAAGTTGTGTGTAATAATACCACACATGCATATTAGCAATGAACATATTAGGCAGGGCTTGGTACTAATAAGTCCATATTTGCCAACCATAACTTTTACTGGTGGTATACATCTACCAATATCACCTGTTTTAGAATAGGAAATAGGTGTGTTAAGTTGGCAAGTGCTGGGTGCTTAGACAACACATTTGTAGCAAAATTTTAATTTAAGAAATACAAACAAACAACAATAATCCACACATGCAAATCATTTTCAGAACTTATCTCAGTATGGATATTCAGGCTAAAAACAGGGCCCTCATGAACATGAATGCAAACTCCACTAAAATCCATGGAGTTGAATCTGATTACACCAGGGCTCAATATGGGTTTTAAACCTTTCTCCTGAAAACACTGAAAATAGCTGGCCACATTACACTTTCAAAAAGAGAGAAGAACTGACCTGCAGTATGCAGGTCCAAGCTATGTTCTCAGGATATGTCCAGGTCAATACTGGGCTGGATGAATATTTAGAGCTTAAGAAAAAAAACACACCACTATCATTCCTCTATAAATAAAAAAAAGAGCACTGTAACAACTTACCTCTCAAGTTTATCGTTTCAGCTGCATTTACTTCTACGTTCTGATTACTATTGTGACAGGTAGTTTCTTTGGGTCTTTTTGGCACAGTCTTAAAAAAAAAAAGAAGGGAAGGAGTGTAAATTGACTTCAGACACCGCAGATTGTCAAGGCACTGGGCCGAGTCCAATTCCAGTGCAATATGTTGCTACTTCAGTCAGTCTTTCACACTGACAAAAGTGATCTCCCCTAAAAGCTATTTGATCCCCACTAAAAGAAACTCCTCCAAGAGACCAATATAGAGTAAACAAATGAGAAGTCACATTGTAAAAGCTCAACATATGTCCTAGAATACAGGATGACCATTTCTTCACTTTTTAATCTGAGGGCCATTCTCTAGAGTTTATAGGACTGTAAGCAACTAGGAGCGCGGTATAATACACTAGGAGGAACCCTGGTCAGACAGAGAGCCAGAGCTATCCTTTAGCAATGGCAAGCTTAATTAAACAACTCAGTCCAAAAGGTGGCCCACCACCACACAGCTACCCCTTCCCCACCCAATTTCCCCTGCTGCCAATTGCCATCACTTCTGGCTTGGTGGGCCAGACATTGGACATGTTTAAATCAGTAGGTCCAGATTTTCTTCACCTGAGGGTGCTGAGGGAATTGGCAGGGGCCATAGCGGGGCACCTGGCATGGCTCTATGAGTGCTTGTGGGGCTCTGGCCAGGTACCAGAGGATTGTAAAAGGGCCAATGTGGTCCCCATTTACAAGAAGGAGAGAAAGGAGGACCCCGGCAATTATAGGCCAGTCAGTCTTACCTCGGTCCTTGGGAAGACCTTTGAGAAAATTATCAAGGAGCACATCTGCAGGGACTCAGCAGGGGAGATAATGCTCAGGGGCAACCAACATGGGTTCACTGAGGGCAGGTCCTGTCTGACTAACCTGGTTTCTTTTTATGATCAGGTCACAAAGTCCCTGGATGAGGGTGTCGAGGTGGATGGTGTCTTCTTGAACTTTAAGAAGCCCTTTGACATGGTTTCCCACCACATTCTCTTAAAAAAAAACTTGGCAACTGGCATTGATGCCTACACAGTCAGATGGGTGGCAAGTTGGCTAGACAGTCGCACCCAGAGAGTGGTGCTGGACGGGTTGTTTTCAACCTGCAGGGATGTGGGCCATGGAGTCCCCCAGGGCTCGGTCCTGGGGCCTGTACTGTTTAACATCTTTATCAGCAATCTGGATGTGAGTGTGGAATGCACACTGTCCAAACTCGCTCACAACACCAAGTTGTGGGGTGAGGCGGGCACGCTGGAGGCGCGGGACAGAATCCAGCTAGATCTAGACAGGTTACAGAGGTGGGAGGATGAGACTAGGATGAAATTCAATGCAGACAAGTCCAAGGTGCTGCATCTAGGGAGAAGGAACCTGCAACATACCTATAGGCTGGGGAACACCCTTCTTGTCAACATGGTGGCAGAAAAGTTTCTTGGAGTCACCGTTGACTCCACGATGAACATGAACCGCCAATGCGAGGAAGCAGTCAGTAAGGCTAACCGCACCTTGTTGTGCATCCACAGATGCATCACAAGCAGGTCCAGGGAGGTGATCCTCCCCCTCTATGCAGCATCGGTCACCCCACAGTTGGAGTGCTGTGTCCAGTTCTGGGCACCACACTTCAACAGGGATGTGGCTAGCATTGAGAGGGTTCAGAGGAGGACCACTCCCATGGTCCAGGGGCAGTAGGGCAGGCCCTATCAAGAGAGGCTAAAAAGGGCCTGAACCTATTCAGCCTCCACAAGAGAAGGCTGAGAGGGGATCTGGTGGCTATTTACAAACTCACTGGGGGGACCAGTGGGAATTAGGAGAAGCTCTGTTCCCCTGGGCACCACCTGGGGTTACTAAGAATAATGGCCACAAATTATTAGAGAGAAGGTTCAGGCTGGACATCAGGAGACATTACTTTACAGTTAGGGCTGCCAGGCTCTGGAATGGACTCCCAAGTGAGGTGGTGCTCTCTCCTACCTTGGGGGTCTTCAAGAGGAGGCCGGACAGATATTTGGCTGGGATGATATGATCCTGGCACCTGTTCCTGCCCGGAACAGGGGGTCAGACCTGATGATCTGTTTAGGTTCCTTCTGACCCTAAGTACTAGGATAAAGATCTCTTTGCAGGCTGCACTGGATCCACTGACTACAGGCTTCTGACTCCCTGCATCTTCCTGCCGAACAGTGGCCATTATTGAAGGCTGCAGAGGAGGATACAGAGAGCACTGCTATAGATGGTGATGAAATGATCTGCCCATAGGGCAAGTGCAATTACAATTGCAATTAGTGGCCACTCTTGCTACCAATTCAGTTTAGGGGCAAAATTCCCACTGGCTTCAGAGCCTTTAGTGGCGTAGCTACATCCCAAAGGTTTTATATCCCTTTAAAAGCACATTTAATATTAAGGCAGATGTTCTTATTATGCATGTAACAGTTAAAGCCTTTTGTGATAGCTGCTTTGAGTATCCTGTTCCCAGATCCTCCTGGTTGTTGGAAAAGTGTGCATAGAAAAATCTTTTCTATTCTGTTCTCCTTCTCCCCCACCCATGGTTCTTTGTACTTTAGTCTCCCAAGAACACGAGCGTCTGGCTATGCAACTTGGCATGACTATTCCCAGGAGCAGCATGACACCAACATGACTTCTGACTGTTTCATTCTTGTTCATGGAAATCTAAATAGCAGAAGTGAAACTAACCAAAACATCACTCACCTGTTCCTTGCAGAGCATTTGTAGCCTTCCAGCAGATAGTCAAAGTTATTTGCATTTTTGTAAAAAAAGTATTTTTAGTTCCTCTATGAAAACAATAATCCCCCCCCTCCCCCCCCAAAAAACCCAACAACCCCCCCGCAAAATAACCCGGGAGACGTTCATAGTGAGTGAAAGGCTTTTTTTAAGCCCAATGCAAAATTTAAGCAATGTGTTTCACAATCAAATCAAGGACAGTGAAGACACTAGTGTCACCACTTTCAGTCACTAAGATTTTGCATATATATTTTTAAAACCTCTTTGCATATTTTCCATACAGATCCATCCAGATCCTTCTGTGCCCTCCTGTCTTTTATCACAAAAAACATGTAGCTGTAAAATAAGTGAACAATAAATTGCAGTTTTTCACTAAGGTTCAGCACACTTTGTGGTTTGCCTGCTTGAAAAAACAATAATCTACAATAAACTTTTCTGTGACAATGAACAGACTGTTTGCTTGCCCTATATCCCTTTCTACTACTTTACAGTAATGTTAACATCTGATAAGGATGAAAATGAGAGATTCCCTGAATAAAAATAGCAGCATATTAGATGGTATATTCCTTTAGTTTAGCAATTCTCTCTCTCATGCTTGGCAAATGTCTTGCATTGGAAAGCTTGTCCAACTCTATCCAAACTATGCAGTGGGTCCAATCCTTGCCTCTAGGAAATTTCACACACTTTCAGCATAAATACTAGGACTTAGTATTTATGCTGAAAATAAATGGGGTTACTAAGGGGTCTTCAAGAGCTTTGGTCGCCGGTTCAATTCAGCGGAGATTCGGCCCAATTTGGCAGCTGAATCTCCAAATCCAAATCAAATCAGGAGACCCTTTAATCTCTCTGAATCGATTTGGAGAGATTCAATGATTTGGACATAGACACAGCTTTAAATGTTTTTTCTACGTACCTCAAGGTACCAGGCAGCTTGTGAATGCCG